ATTCTTCCACGAGTGCAAGCACACTGCAAGCGCGACCGCCCCTCCATCCGTTTGCAGGGACCACGGCAGGCCGTTCGGCCCGCTTGCCCCTTTTCGGCCCCTGCCCCGGCGTCCCAGGCGCGTGCTGGGCCCCGGTGGCCGCAGCGGCGGCTGAAGGCGCATGCTTCCACGACCCCGCCCACGAGATGCTGGCGGTCTTCGTCATCACGGCGCTGCAGGACCTGGATGCCCCTCGCCTGCAGCTGTCCGCGCCGCTGCCGCCGCGCGACGCGCTGGCCGTGTGCGACGAGCTGCGGGCCGCGCTGCTGCGCGTCGGCGGCTGCGGGCGCGTCAGCGCGCTGGCGCTGCTGGCTCTCGGCGTCGAGGAGGCGTGGCGCTGCAAGGCGTTGTGCAGAATTGCCATGGAGGCCGGGCACGCGGACAGCGGCGGCGGCGGCGACGACGAGGGCGGCGAGGACGCGAACAACGGCGCGGCGGCGTGCCCGAGCGCCACCTACATGCGTGCCCATGCTCTGCTGGCCGGGCTGAACTCAGACCTTGGCACAGCCCTTCAGGCGCAAGGAGGCTGTATGGGAGCGACGCCTGGCGCTGCCATCGCGCCGGGCGAAGGCGGCGCCAGCGGCGGTACGTGCGGCCTCCTCGCCGCACACCCTGCTGTGCGACTTGTGGGTTTGCCCTGCTTCAGCGGCGGCCCTCACTGCATCAGCCCGTCCGGCTCCACCCGCACCAGCGCCGCGGCAGCCGCCAAGGCCGCACGGCTGCGGGGGCTGCTAGAGGCGCCGCCTGGGCCGGTGGCAGCGTTGGAAGCTTCCAGAGAGCTGCTTGCTGCGTCAGCGACGCGCGCCGAGGCAGATTCTGGGGAGAGGTACAACGCGCTTGTGTGCGACGGCGATGCCGCGGCCGAGGGCGGGGCCGTGGCGGCGGTGCAGCCAGAAGACCCCGTTGGCGCTCAGCGGGGGGCGCCGGAGGAGGGGCAGGTGGCGCCTCGGGGCGAGCAAAGGCAAGGTCGGCAGCAGCAGCAGCAGCAGCAGCAGCAGCAGCAGCAGCAGCAGCAGGAAGAGGACGCAGGGGGGCGGCAGCAGCAGCAGAAGCAGAAATTGCAGGGAGAGCCAGCAGGGCGGCAGCAACAGGAGCACAATTTGCCTGAGCCCACCGAACACCGGCGAGGCTTGGGGGCAGCCCAGGCAGCACAAACAAGCTCAGCACCACAGAAACCAACAGGAGCAGCAGCAGCAGCTGTGGGAGCAGCGGCAGGCGCAGGACCACCAGCAAGTGCAGGAGCAGCAGCAGGCACACAAGCAGCACGCGACGCAGGTTCAGCACCAGGCGCAGGCACAAGAGTTGCAGCAGGCGCAGGCTCGGCAGCAGGCGCGGGAGCAGCAGCAAGCGCAGGCGCAGCAGCAGGCGTACTGACAAGAGGACGAGGGGCATCCACATCGGCATCCCCAACCCAGGCACCACTCGCAGCGTCAGCTGGCGCTGCTGCGATGCCGGCGTCTACAGGCCTGGACCGGCAGCAGCGCGGCTGCGCGGTCTGCGGCCGGACCAAGGCGGAGGGCGCGGCGCTGCGGCGCTGCGCGGGGTGCGGCAGCTTGACGGGCGTGCGGTACTGCAGCCAGCGCTGCTGCCGCGACCACTGGTGCAAGATGGGCCACCGCGCAGAGTGCGAGGCGGCGCAAGCGGCGAAGCGGTTGACTGCCCCCTGTGGGGGTGCCGACGGCAGCAGCGGCGGCGACAACGGCACTAGGGCAATTGATGAGTAAATGATGCCGATGCCCTCTCACGCCATGATTTTTGCAAGCGGCAACACAGTTCTGGCGTGGCAGCGGTGCAAGGAGTGGTCGGTCGCATGCAGCCACGCGTTGTTAAGGGTGTTGAGTTGGATAACTTGAGTGAGGTGACAGGCAGCCGAGGTGCGGGTGCATGGCACCAGTGGGGTGCTGCACGGACGTGGTGCATTCTGCCCAGCGTCGGCACCCGCTGTCCTGCAGTGGCCGCACTCATCAGCGGCCGCCACAGCGCACCGCAACGCTTGCCGGGCGACCGCGGGTCCAGGGCTGCTGTATTGCTCCTTGCCAGCTGCAAGGAGTGAGGTCCTTCACACATCATTCTAATTCACAGGAGCAGCTTGCTAGCTGCGTGGCAGTCACTTCCACATTTTGGTTTGTAAGCTACTATGCTGCGCAAGCTCGGGCCATTACTAATATGCCGCCGTGCAGGTGCGGCAGCTTCACTTGCTCTGCTGCTGCCCAGTGAACATGTTGGCCCAGGCTGACCAGTGTCGTTAAAAAGTACCACACGAACTAGATTGTCTATCGCAACTGCGTGCGCGCAAAGAAGAAATTTTCACCTGATCTACAGACTTACGCAGTTACCAATCCCCAACCTATGAATTAATCGTATCCAACAGCCTTACGAGGATGGCGCGTGGCAGGTGCACTCCTGGGTCGACTGAGGGCACGTCGACTGAAGGGAGTCGCCCGCACACCCACTGGCGCTGTGCTGCAAGCAGCCATCCTTGTTGATGCGCACATAAGCGCCGACGCAACATTGCCGGGTCTCGCTCCCCCGCATCAGCTTGGAATGCAGCCGTGCTGGCATTATGTTGGCAGCACAGCGGCCGGCGGCACCAGGAGCAGGCGCGGGTGACGCCCGAGTTTCGCGCAGTGCCATGGCCTCACGCCGCGGCGGCTGGCTTACCCATCCAATCCTTCCCGCTATGGTGGCGTCATAGGGCGGCCGCAGCAGCGGCGAGCGGCGGCGGTGGGGGGCCCATGGTGCGGGACGCTGCGCAGCTGGAGGCGGCAGTTGCTCGGGCGATTGGGGTGAGGGGGGCAGCAGCGCCGCGGCCCAAGGTATCTCTAATTGCGCACGCGGCGCGCGGCTGTATGTTGGCACCCGAAGCTTGGACGCAATACCATATGCTACTTGGGGCTGTGGGCCGCGCATGGCACACCTGGGGGGAGCACCTGGGGCAAGAACGCGTGCCGCATTCAGTCATGGGCCCGTTGCACGAGCCTGTCAGATTCGCCCTGCTCCTCATACAGCAGACATGCACACGTGCGTCCGCGCGCGCGCACACACTTACATACCGTACGCACGCAGGTACAACGCACACTCACGCATGCACACGCGCGCATATGCACACACACGCGAGCGCACACGCACACGCGCGCGCACACACACACACACACACACACACACGCACACACACGTGCGCGTATGCAAATGCGCGCTCACACGCACACACACACGCACGCACGCGCGCGCACACTCAAACAC